ATCTTAGGGAATGACGAATTTCAATGTTTAACGCCGATATATACAATTCTGAATTCGATAACTTACAGCTTTATGTACTTGTATATTTTTATATCGTTAGGTTATTTTGGTATAAATGTGTTGTTTTTGGATATTAAATCAACCCTAAAAAGGAAAATGGAGAATTTCTAAAAGATACTTTATACATGAGACATAAAAAGTGTTTCATACATTTACAAATTATGTCCTATCAGTTTATTAAATATAATTTTTCACATATAAAGGTTAAACCTAAAAATTGAAAATATAGTATTTATACATTTTTTAACGACTAGAATAAAATATTTTTTTTTTGATGGTACAAATAAATAAATTCCTCAATTGAAATTCCTAGTTGGAATAATCTAGCACAATAAACCTCTAGGTATCTACATACATACATACATACATACAGCCGCTACTCGCTGACACGTACTCGACACACATAAAGAAGATGGTCACGCAAGACGTTTTCTTTCATGAGCCTTCCTGTGACTGAAAAGCCCGATACGTGATGTTATCTGCCTACCGCACTCCGGACATTCAAAAATCTCATTGCTTTGTTGCCTCTTTACTTTTTGTTTGTCGCTGTTAACTGAGTTTACAATTCTTCTCCATTGAGTTCTATTGTGAGCTGCTTTTTCCCACTCATTCTGCATGTTAAGCCCCTTTAAGTTTTCGTGGAAAATGTCCTTGTACCTTTTCAGTTGTCCACCTGGCCTCCTCTTACCGTCTACAAGCTCACCGTAATGCAGAGATTTTGGTATGCTGTTTTCTTGCATTCTGCATACGTGACCAGCCCATCTTAAGCGGGATTTTGTAACCATTACTTCAATACTCTCGTAGTTAGCTTTTTCAAGGACCGATACGTTTGAGACATGGTGGAACCACCGGATTCTTAAGGGTTGTCTAAGGTATCTCTGTTGCAACTTGTTTAATGCGTTCATGTGTGCGCGGTACGGCACCCAGGTTTCACTCCCATATAACAATGTGCGGATTATAATTGCTCGGTACACTGCAAGTTTTGTTTTTGTACTCAAGTCATGATTGTAGAAAACCCTGTCTTTTAATTTCCAGAATGCTCTTGAGGCGCTACTAATCTTGTGCTGAATTTCAGAGTCAATATTGGCCTTTTCCGAAATCAAACTGCCAAGGTAATTGAATTCCGCCACATATTCCAATAGTTCTTCTCCGATTTTTATAGCATTGTTATGATTTTCTGGGGGAGTGCACATGATTTTAGTTTTGTCCAGGTATATGTGTTCAACATTTCTTGTAATTGTTGTACCGTGTTTGCAACTAGAGCGCAGTCGTCAGCGTATTGAAGTTCTGTGATGAATTTTTTTTGTGCTTTTGCACACACGTGCTTTTGCCCTGAGTCTTTTTATGTTGAACAGACCGCCGTCGTATCTGTATCTAATGCCTAATCCTCTCTCCTGCAGTTTGCTGTCCACTATAATGGAGAGCGCTGCCATGAATATGTTGAATAGGAGAGGCGCTAAGACACATCCCTGCCTAACTCCTGTATTTGTTAGGAATGCGTCGCTCAGTGGTCCATGATGTGACACTCTTGACTTGTTATGTTGTTGTTATGGAGGCTTTTACACACTGTAAGAAATTTGTTGGGTACTCCGAACTTTTTCATAATTGCCCAAAGCGCATCTCTGTTCACAGAGTCGAAGGCTTTTGTTTGATGAATGCAACGTAAAGTTTAGACTGCTGCTCTCTTACTTTTTCCTGTAGTTGACAGATGGAAAATATGGAATCGACGGTGCCGCGGTTGGAACGAAAACCCGTGTGCGATTCTGGAAGGATTTTTTCTATATATGGGTGCAGGCGATTTGACATTATTTTTGCAAGAATTTTGCCGCCGATAGCCAATAGTGAAATTCCCCGGTAATTTCCGCAGTCTGATGCAATTCCTTTGTTCTTAAATATATTCACTATATTCGCGTTGCAAAAGTCCTGAGGTACCTCTCCGCTCTCTCATACGACATCGAAGAGAGCCTTAAGATGACCAATATTTCTTTACTTGCACACTTATAGATTTCCACCAGAATCTTGTCACAGCCAGCCGATTTGTTTTTCTTAAGCTGTCTTATGGAGGTCTCTGTTTCCTGTTCTGTTATTGGGATGTCTAATATATCGAGGCTGTTATACTGAGGTATTGTGTTTAGTGCTTCCATATTGGGGTTGTTTTCTTGGTTAAGGATATGGCTGTAATGTTCTTTCCAGCGATTTCTGATTTGTTCTTCCTCTTTTAGAAGTTCGCCATTTTGTGCCATGATTGGGCAGCTTACCTTCTTAGTTGGACCGTATACTTCTTTTACAGCCTCGAAGAATTTACGATAATCGTGATGCGTGGCGTACTCTTGAATCTGATTCGCTTTTTGTGACCACCAGTTATCTTTTACTTGGCGCAGTTCTCTTCGAAGCGTGTTGTTGGCTGCTTTAAAGTTGTCTACCAGTCTTGGATTATGCGGATTAGCAGTGACTGCTTGATGTGCTCTATGCTTTTGTTCCAACAAAGCCTATATATGCGGTTGATTTTCGTTAAACCGGTCTGGTTGTTTCTTTTTGTTCGACTTTCCCAGTACTGCTTCGCTGGTTTTATGAATTGCATCCCTTAATTGTGTCCAGCCTTGTTCAGCTTCCAAGATTGAGATTGAAGCTATCGGTGGAAGTGATTCTTTGATGGCTTCCCGGAGGGCGTCGGCGGTATTGTTGTTCTCTAGACCCCGTACGTTCAATCTGGTCAAGTTGTTTTGCTTTTTACAGTGTGGATGTTTGGGTTTAAACTGAATTTTCATTTTTGAAATTAAACTAGGTATCTAACATAAACATGGCGGTAAAATAACGAAAAGCAAAGGATAAATCTATATAATATCTTGTTTTAAATTCATTGCGGATATGACATTTCTTTTTGATGAGGTAACCTAACTAGTAGACAGGGCAGTATCAAAAAATATTTTTAATGTGGTAGTAAAAAATATCGTATCAGGTAAAAAGCATAAATTATTAAGCTCCACTTTATACAGTGTACATTCATTTTTAAAAATGATACTCTAGGATATAGCTAGATTAATTATTTAATTTTAATTAATTAAACCAAGTTGGTTTAAAGCTCTATATTTACAGAACCAAATAATTAAAATGTAATTTAATTATTTTTTGTCGATTCAGTGTGGGCTAACTTTAATGCGACGCTAAAAAATATATTATTAAATGCTTTATGTTTTTGTATATTTTTATTAACTCTAGATTGTTTTTATATGTGTCGTTATTTAATATTCGTTCAAGTCAATGTTAGCAAAAAATTGACATTTCTTTTACTGGTCCATTACAATAATATGTACCTCTAAAAAATTATAATAAACTGTTACACCTACTTAAAACAGACCTGACGTCACTGTTCTTTATACCTGCAATATCTTATTTAAGTTGATTCAAATAAAATCAAGCAGCTGCAATAGTTAGTAGGAATTATATTAAATTTTTAACTAAATTGGCATAGTATTCAGTGTAAAACCTTTTTCCGAAGAAGCTCCATGTCAGTTTTTCTATTCAAGATTTTCACTCCAAACATTTTTGCAAAATATGCCATATGACAATGATAGCCCAAATATGAAAAATAATTTCACAGATGGATACGGTAACTGAGGAATATTTTACACTAAAGTTGTATTTTTGCGCCGTATATATTTAGTTTCTGGTGTAGTTTAGATTTATCCAATCTATTTATCCAAACCAAACCAAACCTTATTTGATGGAGATTGGTTTAGATTGGATAAACCATAGAAGACAATGGTCAAGTGCCAAAAGGATTTATAGGGAGTGCCTAAAGCAGCGGCCTACAATATACGATTGGAGCTATACTTTTAGTTTACCGAGCAGTCAAGAACATGTATAGTTCATACCAAATAAACTTTTAGTCACGTGATTGACCGGCCCAGCGTTGCCCAATTTTATATATTTTCTTTTATTCAAAATATTTTAGGAAACAAAAGTAAATTAGTTATAAATATTTAAAAAAGAAAAAAGAATTTATTGGGCAAGTCTACAGTAAGATTAGCCATGAAACATGACTAAAACATGACTACCCGTAGACACTCAGTGTTTCTGCCTTCCGGCTTCATCAATACGGGAGGAATCAGCAACGATGAACTAGTGATCCTGAAAAAAGAAAAAGGGAAGCAAACGAGGCACAAGGCACCATTTGCAGCCTGGTTAGGAAGTAGCTCACAATTCGCAAGCGTTACCACCGAAAAACCGCTGCGGAGGCATTCCAAAAACACCTCGCCGCTATCACCTTGGCCTAGAGAAAACAATAAACAAAAGATGTTATCGTGATGACTATAATGAAAAAGAAGCAATAATTTATTGGGCAAGTCTACAGTAAGATTAGCCATGAAACATGCCCAATAAATTCTTTCTTCCCAATAAATTCTAGCTAGCACGGCGCGGCGCCGAATATGTGCATGGTTGGCAACAATGGAAAGAACGCGCACTCGATTACGTAACTAAAAGTTTAATTGATATCAGATATAGATGCCAATCATCAGCGATCTGAAAGGGTTCACTACATGGACTCTGTAGTGATTTCGTTATATGTATGATATAATTATATAATTATAAGTCGCTAAAATTATACATTTATGGTTCAACATGAAAGTTAAGACTAAATTAAACTGTAAAATTTGAAAATTGACTACTATTCAAGTCAGTCCAAAAAGCTGTTTTTTAGAAAACTTGATATTGAGCTAATTCGGAGTATTATATCACCCTGTACAATGAAGGTTCTTTATTATCCTAAACTAGTACAAGAGCAGAATCATTTAAATATATTAATTAAGAATCCAATTTTCTCTTGTGTTTTAGATTTTTTGATGCATTAGAACATTATTAAGAAAGGACACATTTTTGCTAAATTTGGCTGACCCATTACAGTTGTAAAATATTTAATAAAGGTACTATATTTTCAGGAGGAATAGCAGCAGCAGTCGTGACGGTAATAGGCCGACCCCTCCCCACCATTTCGGAAGCCACCACCACCACAGCTTTCACCAACGTCTCCTCGAACAACTCGAGTCCAGAGAAAACTTCCTTCGCCAACGGCCTGGAAGCGGACATGCCCACCACCACCGACTCTTGCGCCACCTACCAGCCTCAGTACCACCCGGTCAAACGAAAAACTCGCGACGGCATTGACTCGAAACGAGAGCGAAAAGCGGCCAAAACGCTGGCCATCATCACGGGCGCCTTCGTGCTCTGCTGGCTACCGTTCTTTATCATGGCTGTGATAATGCCCATAAACGCTAACCTGTTCGAAAAGTACATGGTGTCGATTTTTCTGTGGCTGGGCTACTTCAACTCGACCCTGAATCCCATCATTTACACAATATTCAGCCCGGAATTTCGACATGCTTTCAAGAAGATCCTTTGCGGAAGGAACTACGCCAGACGCAATAGGCGATTTGGCGTCAGGGGCCATTTTGCATGATGGCGGCAGAGTGGTCGTTTACCTTCGGACAGCGAGCCGCCGGTGGCCGCGCGGCTGGCCGCTATAGTGGCTGCGCCGGCGGTGGCAGCTGGCCCCAAAAACGTCACGTTTAAGTGTGACTGATACGAAGATAAACGACCACGAAACGTCGTATCGCCCATTGTAGACTATGAGAGTAGTAGTAGCAACGAGAGGGTTGTTCTTGAGCTTAAAGTCATCCCTGAAGTCTAGCTTTATATTGTACAATAATATAAACAAAATCGGTGTATTACAGTATTTTATTACCCAGAGACAACTGTAAAATATGAAGTAAAACTCTGATTTCGAACTTTCAATTTCTTTAAATATTTGATAGTTAGATAGTAAGTTTAAAATGATTTTGAATGTTGTAACAGTAACGCCTATGGTTCTAACAAAGTTTACAGAATTTTCTCTAAACGTTGCGTTGGTTCTAATGTCAACGACTTGTCTTAATAATATTTCCGTAATCTACTGTCTTAATTACTAAAATATATGCAAAGAATCATTGATGTGATTGTGGCTTAATTATTGATGTATGTTTAAATTAACATTTGTCTCTAAACATGCCGTATCAGAGGGTAATATAAAAAATGCAGAACTAAATAAAATTTTAATTCTTTCACAATTTTTTCCGGGCGGTTACAAAATTTATTTTATCAGTTATTGTTACGCTTACTAGACTTATTTAGTTATGAATAATCTTTATGTACCTATTTATATTTTTAATAAATTTTTCGTCTACGCCTATGGTGGATGCTGCTTCTTCAGGTGGTATCATGCAAAATAACAATAAAAACACGTATTAAAACGTTTACAAAAGGTACAAAACTAGTATGGACTATTATGCACAATATTTTAGGATATATCATAGTATAATATCAGAAAATTCACTACGAAATTCGATAAAGAAACTAAAAAGATAGAGTGAACTGTTTATTTATCTATGAAACGTAATTCCTATTGCGGCTTTTACACCTGAAAACTGAACAAATCACCATAGTAATAAAGTTGTTCACCATACAAAGTTCACAAACGCTAAAATTGTCGCTTGTGACACATCCGTTGTCTCCATAAAATGGCGTCTAACATCACAAATTCACGAGTCCTTCTATTCTTTAGTCACTGGTTTAAATAATAAGTCCATTTCAGTTTGGTAGATTGTTCTTTACTATAACATTTGAAATCTCTGTACTGCAATGGTTTAAGGCAATTACTAAAGAATACAAGAACATGTAACGTTCATATACGGGCTGCAGTAGAATTTGTGATGTTAGACGCCATTTTTTTGGAAGATTTGGGTTTGGATTGGCTAATGGAACGAAGGTTGGGATTGGAAGGAATGAATAAGTAATCAGCTGGTTATCAGCGACAATTTTAGCTATTTTTAATAGTTTGAGTGTAGTGAACTTTGTATAAACTTTATTACCATGGTGATTAGTTGTTTAGATTTCAAGTGTAAAACCCGCAGCGATAAGAAAAAGCCAGCTGTTACGTTTCCTAGGCAAATAAACAGCATACTCCACCTTTTTAGTCTTGTTTTTATTGAAAATTATTTTTCTAAATATGTATGTACTTCATATGTACTATACGTCGATACTAGTTAAGCATGGTAACAATTTGGTCTCCGGTGTTATTAGTCTTTGTATTCTTTAGTCATTGGTTAAAGGTAATTTCACTCAATATTTTATCTTAATGACGATCAATTGACAATACACCACCGGCTCGAAACATCGCTACAAAATTTAATAAAGACATTACAATGCCGAAATCTGTGTTTTACTCAAGATCACACTGTATATTTCATATAACATTCAAATATGTGGAAAAAATACATTAAAATCATTAGCTTTAAATACAATTCATGTAATGAAAGTAAAAATAAGTATTATAAATATATTAAATATTACAATTTGGCATTGTTTTTTTTTTGTTTTTAAACATTTTTCTAATACTCTCATTTTAAAGCACAGATAACATACTATGTATCTGTGATTACGGTTGACATGTAAAAAATATATTAGAAACAATGTCAATTATTCATTATATTATTATGAGTACATGTTCATAAAGCTAATTCTTTTCAATTATAAAAATATCAATTTAATATACGAGATTATGTCCGATTATAGAAAAACATGCCTGGGATCAGTAGCAAATAATAGTAGATGTATCCATGGACTGACATTTCCAAGCCAACTGGACGCCTTTTTTTTCTATCATACGTTATTTTGTATAAATTTTCGATACATATTTCTTCAAACTCGAAAAAAAAATCAAAAATTCACCTCTAGTAGACTAATGTGTTGTTTTGAAATCGATTTGCGCTTTGCCGATTCTGCAGGTATTTTTTCCTGTTGTAGTAATTATAAATGCAGTAAATATACAGAGCGTTTCAGAATAAGTGTAAAATATTTCACCGGGTGATTTCTCAAGTGTCTTTAAAGTAAAAACCTATACCTATAAACATGTATTTTAAAATGGTTTGTTTTCGAGATACAGGATGTCAAAGTTTTGAGCAAAAATTTTTTTTATAATATCAGCTACTACTGGAGCTACTGAAGTTATTTTTATTATTTTTTTACACGTATTTTCATTTTCGTTAAGAAATAATTTTTTAAAAATTTTCCAGTGGCTTTCGTACTGGATATCGACTGAATATTTTTAAAACATATTGCGGTTCATCGCAAATTTTCCCACGGTATAATTTCTTAATCTCTGGTTACGGCAGTATTCTATGGTTACGACTAGTGATGGGATAACTCGAGTGAAAATTCGCTCGAGTACTCGATTATTGAAATAACCGACGTCGCTCGATTATGAACGAGTGATGCAAGTGACGAGTACCAAGCGACGAACGCAAGCGATCCTAGAATTAAATAAATTGAAATCCGATTTTAATGTGACATACTCGATAAAAAGCCGAGTGAATTTTCTACATACATTGCAGGTAGCAAATTTGTACGACGCCGTATATACAGGGTGCGTCTCAGAAGTGGCTCACCCCTATTACTTTTTTATTTTTTAGGTAAAAAACTGAGATGTTAGTATGTTTTTTCTGTCACTTTCTGTTTCACTGGAAATGACAATTTTTGATTTTTAAATGGCACCCTCGGTATTTTTTTTTACTTTATTCGATAGAAAATGACATTCTAAATAGAATGACGTATCATATGTCAACTTTTGAGATATTCGCTTAAAAACAAACTGTATTTTAAATTTCAATCTAGAGTGCCATGGTTGTGTTAAAAACCCTAATTTTTCAGGGAGCCTTGGAAAAATAGATTTGATCGTCTAATGTTTTTAGTATCTTTCCCTGGGCAGTTAAAAGATGCCCAAATCGTATTTTTGATCATATCTCAATTTTTTCAAATGTAACGAGGGTGGCTCATTAGCATATTTCGAAAAAGATTTTTTTACGAATAATTTGATACCACACACTTGGTACTTCGAACCAAATTGTCGTTATGAACCGCATGTTACAATTTCAAATAAACCATATGCGAAAATGTCAAAAGTTGACATGCGATATGTCATTCTATTGAGAGTGTCATTTTCTACCGAATAAAGTAAAAAAATACCGGGGGTGCGATTTAAAAATCAAAAGTGGTAGTCACTTCCGGTGAAACCGGAAGTGATTAAAAACATTTGAATATGTCAATCAATCCTAATTTATGTCATATACTAACATACCAAACTCGTTGTTTTATCTGAAAAAATAAAAAAGTTATAGGGGTGAGCCACTTTTGAGACGCACCCGGTATATTTATCCGTTGCGTATCTGAGGGACAAAATTTTACAACGTACATCGACAATGCTTCGAAATAAACTAAATCAAGCGATCAAGCGAATCGGTCGCCGCTTACTACTTGCCGTTCATTACCGAAAGAATATGTGCCCTGCGCACGCAGCGTACTGCTTGGCGCTTGGCGTTAACGAGTACTTACAATATGCGACGGACAAAAAACCGTATTTTTAAATACGAGCGATATTTCGCTCGAGTGATCACTCGGTTATTGCAATCGCTTGATACTCGAGTACTCGATTATCGAAATTAATCGGTTTTTCCCATCACTAGTTACGACACTATAAGGGATGCAAATACAGAAAAAATTCGGTGGCTCTCAAACTTTTTTAAAATAAATCATTTTTTTTTAATGTTCAAACTTGAATAACTCAGTTATATCGGACTTATTTGAAAAAAAAACGGTATAGAGAAAATATGATGCTTTTATCGAGATCAACCAGCCCTGAAAATATTTGCACCTATTTTATTATGCACTCTGTATTATACAAAACCACATATTTTATGACTAAAAATCATTAAAGACACACTTTAAAAAAATATTTATAAATAATAAATAATAATAATATAAAACATTTTCCTATTTTTGTCAAGTAACAATTTTTTATTTAGTAGTAAGTAGATACAATACATTGTGTACTATTTCAAATCATATTTATATTTTTAGATAACTGGACATTGACTGGACTGACTTAGTATATCACTGACCTGAAGGTTATCAAAGATAATATGATAGTTTTAAGAAGAAAAGTAAAGCAAAAGAGTTGTTAACTTTTTTATATATCACTCCACGCAACAATTCAAAAAACTCTGACTGAATTTTGTCTAAAATAGCCTTAAAATGCAGTGTGTAACGATTAATAAACGCTGAATTAAGTTCTAAAAAACTCCCTGACGTTATTTCGATAATTTTATTGATTGATATTTTAATCCAATTTATATTTATCTTGAGTTCTTAATAGGATTAATAAATTTATTCAAAAATATAGAATTCCTTTCCAGAATCTAATAAATACTTAGATGCGATACTATCGTAAGTAATTTGTACCATACAATGTATATGTAGAAAAGTAAGTATTCAAAAGTATAAATTAAATAAAATTACAAATCAAGTACATATAGACATAACACCAATCCTTAGACTTCAATCAATGGACTTAAAACTTTTTTAAAATGTATAATGTATAAGTAAAAACACTGTATATAGTGTAACAAAAATCTCCGCCGAATGGGCTTTCTATTATTAATTCTGTACAAAGTATTTAAAATATCTTGATAGAATCTGTAACTCTAGAGATAGAAATATTAAAATCAAATATGTCTCTAGAATATTATTATAGCACAAATATCTATATAAAATTTTAAAATGTATATCCTCTATGTTTTAGTTGTAAGGATAATTAAAATAAACTAATAATAGTAGTTTCCTAAAACAGAAACTAATATTTGGTTATGTAAATTTCATATCAAATATTGTAAATTTGTATAATTTGACCAAATATAAATATTAAGGTTAAACAACTATTATTACGGATAAAATTAAGATCGGGGAAGTTAGCAACTCACTGAAAAAGCAGGAATTATAAAATACGATCCTGCTTGGGCTTCAAATACCAACCCAGCCACACCTACCAATTTTGAGCTATAGTTACTTTTATTTTGGTTGCTAACTTCCCAGTTGGCAACACATGAGAAGCAGAATCGCCAAAACTGGTTCCTGCTTCCGCTGCTATACCCCTGTTGCATCCTGCTCTAAATTTCATCCCAGCAACAATTGCTGTTTTTAAGATACAGCAAGTTTAAGTCTGATTGGTGACGTCACACATAGCAACACAATAAAAGCGGGATGGCTGAAACAAGTTCCTGTTTTCGCTGCTATAATCCTGCTTCATCCTGCTTCAAACCCTATACCAGCCACCCTTGCCGTTTTTGAAATACATACATCCATACATAATACATACATTGTGAATAAAAGCTTTTAAAAATATTTTTAAAAACAAGCTTTTATTTAAAT